GGTGGTGCAGAGGGGTGGGGTGGTGCAGAGGGTGGGGTGGTGCAGAGGGATGGGGTGGTGCAGAGGGGTGGGGTGGTGCAGAGGGGTGGCAGATTGCAGAGAACATTGAGAACCATCATAAGGACTTTTGATTAATTACTCACACAGAAAGCCATTAGATTTCTTCTCTTTCCCCAGAGGATGACACGATCCAGATTTCCCTTGAAAAGAATTACTGTGATTATAGAGATTGTTGGCTTAGTTCAAGAAAAAGATAATGTTAGATTAAATCATGGATATAGTGGCTAAATAGGAGATGTTCAGTTTTTTATTCTTTGAAGGTTGAACCATCAGACAGATTAAATGTAGAACATTAGGAAAAGAGCCATCCTTGATTTCTCTCAAAGGTTTTTATAGCCTCAGCAATCTGGAAAAACTCTGAACATTTACTGAATGGGGAACACTGAGAAACAGTAGGTTTGAACCAGAAATCAAAGCTTGCCTTTCGACATAAGTTTGGGAGTGTTATTGAAGTGGAGATGTCAAGTGGCAAGTTTGGCGTTGAAGTTTGGAATTTAGAAACTAGGTCTTTCTTTGTGAAAACTCTTCCATTCCCTTCAATTCTGTCAAATGAATTCCGTATTCCCAGCACTACATTTAAAATTTGATGCCAGCTTACATTTTAAAATCTGTCTCATCCTGTATAGCCTTCCATAGACCAAATCAAACAGTCTGTATTGCTGTTCTAGATCTTTTTCCATTTTGAAGGATTCACCTTTGTCATTCTTTATACCTGGAATGCCTGTCATCCTAGTTCTGTCGGAATATTGTCTAGTCTTCATGACAATACACAGAGTGGGGACAGAAGAGTGAGCCATGGAAAAGAAGTTTTTCTAATTTAGTTGATGATATTAATGAATAGCCTCTGCTGTTCTACTTCTGTGTGTTTATTTTATTTTATTGCTGTGCTAGGATTTGAACCCATGGCTTTACACGTGCTAGGCAAGAGCTCTACCACTGAGCTATACGTCCCAGCCCTGTGTGCTGTTTTAACTTGTGGTACACTGTACCTTTTCTCCTGGTGACTGTTGGTAAAAGTGAATGTTGTTTTCTTTATTTTCAGATGGGAACATTTAAAGCACATGATGGCGAATATTTTTTAGAACCCATCATGAAGGCAGATGGGAGTGAACATGAAGATGACCACAGCAAGCCACATCTGATATACAGGCAGGAATTAAAAGGACACTCTTTTCTACAGTCTCACAGGCCTTGGGAAGTTTCAGGTAAACTATGAAGTAAAACTCTTTTCAGTTAAACTGTGATACTATTTAAATCTCCTTTATAGGTTGACATATTCATATTTCCTTAAATATTTAACTAATTTTTAATTAACAAATAGAAATTTTATATAGTTGTCATGTACAACATGCTGTGAGATATGTACACATTTTGGAATGGTTTAGTAGAGCTAATTAATATAGTGTTTCTCACCTTTGTTTTTTTGAGGTGGAAATGCTTATTATCTACTCTTAGCAGTTTTCCAGGATGCAGTATATTTCTATTAACTGTGGTCACTATGTTTTACAAAAGACTTTTAAACTAATCTCTCCTTTCTAACTGAAATGTATGTATCCGTTGACTGACATCTTTCCAACTCTCCCCACGGGCTCCTGGGAGCCACCTTTCTTACTCTTTATTTCTGTAAGTTCAACTGTTTTATATTACATACAGAGGTAAGATCATGTGGTATTTCTTAATTGTTGAAGTACATGATATTTTCAACAATGTAAGAGTTCATTGGAAATTATCTGGCTGTTGGCAATTTTTTTGTAGTAAATTTAAATCCAGAAAAGTATTTAGTATGTGTGATTTATAGCAAATAATAATAGAACATTTTTATTTCATTATGTTAGTCACATCAGTATGATTTAGTTTTTCTCAGAATTTCAGACTCAGAAAAATAAAAACTGAACCTCTTAACAGTATAACATTATTCAATTTTGCATTGGTCTAGTTTTATATAAGTAGAAATACATTGTACATGTTTTTCTATGACTTATCCTTTTTCCTCAGGTTTGTTTCCGAGATTCATCTATTTTGTTGCATGTAACAGCAGCAAATTTATTTTCATGCCTGCACAGTATTTGATTGTCTGAATATATCAAAGCCTTATATCCATTTTGCTGTTGAACTTTTGGGTTATTTGCAGTTTTTTGCTGTTATAAAAAATGCTGCTATGAATTGTCTTGTTCTATGTCTGAGAGAGTCTTCAGGGTAGACACACAGACACCAGATAATCCCACATTGTTTGACAAAGTGGTTTTATAGTTCCAGTATGAGAGGTATATTTTCATCATTTTTTCCTAAAGACTTCAGACTACTAGAGATTTATAACAGATTATAATCAAGGAATCATGGATTTCTAGACAAGATGAATCTGTTACTAGGAAAATAGTTTACTTGTACTTTTTATAAAAGTATTCACTGAGTTGTGTCCATCTATGTGGATGGATCCTCAGTATTTGTAGAATGACATACAATAACATCGTAGAGAAAAGGCACCTACAGTTATCATCAAAGTACAAAATCTAGACAAAAGAGAGGGACTAGGAAGGATTTATTTGAGAATGTAGGTGTCCATAAACTATAGTTCCAAACACCATGATGCCATCTGTTTTGGGATACAATGATATGTAGTTCTTTGAAGGTTTTCCCTGGGAATGCACTTCTTAACCTCTGCTATTATAAGAGTGCCATTTTGGTTCTCACTGTGTCTAAGGCCATGTTTTAAATCTATTGACATAATAGATGCCTTTCTTATGCTTTTAATATGAACATAAGGGTTTCATTTTGATAGCTTCAAAGCAAATATAAATGAGTCTGGCTTCACAATAGCAAGATACAGAAGGCAGCTTGTGATTCTCTAACGTGCCATTCGTGAGCACTTTGTTTAATGAATTGTTTAGCTTCCTAAGAAGAAAGCCATCAAGTGTACGTTTTGAATGAGGAAATGTTTCACATGATGATATGCAGGGTTTTGCATTCATTGTCAGTGTTCTTCATCAGTAAGAAAGTGGTTTAGGAAAAGCTAGGTTCTTTTGTTTAAAAAATCTTATGTTAAAGATTTACTACAAAAATGCAAATAAAAATGGAAAACTGTGGGATTTAGTTTCCTTTTAATGATAATATGGTTTTTTCTACAGTATTTATCTATTAAATATATAAAAAGTAATATATTTTCTTTTCAGTTTTGAAAATCCTCCACTTTAGGTGTAATTTACATGTTCATGTTAAATCATTAATGAAGGCAATCAAATAATGCTCCAAAATATTAGCCACTACTTATCATCTTGTTAGTGGAAGTAAAGAGTTGTGAATGTAATCCATGAAGTGCTATCCAAGGAGTTTCTTTTCCTTTCCCAAATCAACATTGTTCAGAAATACTTGCAAGATCTAATATATTCTAATCAGATCACCTGCAGCAGAACCCTGCGTAGATGTGGGTTGATAGATGTGGTACATGATCCAACATGATTAGATGGAAAAGGAAAAGTGACTTCTTCTTATGTCTGTGGCTGGTTTCAATTTTTCAGGACCCTAACATGTTACAAGTCATAGTCAGTTTTGATGAATTAGATTAAATTGTTTCCCAGATAAGAGTTCATTGTGTGTTTTGAGGCCATGCGAATTAAATTGGGTAACCAAACCTAGCCATTGAGGATGCCAGGCTCTCAGATATCAGATGTATTCTAAGTAAAATCCAGGGCAAATGAAAAAGCAAGTAAGTTAGAAACCCACAAAATGAGCAAACATCAAACAAAAATCCCACAAACACCACCACCCTAACAAAGTAAACCAAATAAAACTCAAGGGAAAAAGAAACATGGAAAAGATTTACAAGAATGAAAAAAGTCTGAATTCTTCTAAGTGTAGTTCTGTTATTGGTTATCCTCCAAGGGTTGATCAGGAAACCTCGTTAGCCTTGCTTTGTTTCTTCCATCACCCCCTCTACCCTTCTCATCTCTGTGTCATGGGGTAGGAATGCAACCAGAGTTCTAGGCCAGAGGCCTAACTCTGGGGTTTTAACATGTCAGGTCTAGCCAGTGACCCCAATACACTAATTAAAGAGATGAGTCGTGCTGTAGAGCAGAGAAAGGAGACTTACTATACAGCATAGCATACAGTGAGAGGAGGCAAAGTAGGTATTTCAGCCCATTTTTGGGCTGTAGACATGAGCTTTCATTTTCAATACAGGAAGAAATTAGAGTGAGAGGTATTCCTAACTAAATAGTCTTGGTCAAACGTGTGATGGTCAAAGGAGTGGTATGGTTAACCATCATCTCAGGATTGGTCAGGTGGAGCCTGTCACAATAAAAAAAAAGTCATTTGTGCCTGGGGTAGGGTATAGTTTCATCTCTTGTCACAAGATGTTTATCATAAGTGCAGTCATTCCAGAATCCAAAGGGATCACAAAAAGCAATGGCTCAGAGCAAAGGAGACAGATACAAAATAGAAGCAGAGCATTTGAAGGCCCAAGTGAAGAGGCAGTGCTTTTAGCAAAAGCAGTTTCTAAGTACTGATTTTGGGAACATACTATTTGTAGAGCAGTTAAACAGGATTGGATTTGAGTGAAAGTGAAATGTCTTTAAGTAGGGTTTAAGACGGTGTTGTCAGCTTTAAATCTCTGTGGTCTCCTTGAGTTTCTTCTAAATTTATTTATTCATGTAGTCTTTGACATCTTAATATTATAAAATATATAAAAGTTGGTTAAAACAGGGCTACGACAAGAAGGAATGTGGAATCTGCATTTTAAAACAATCTCATGTGCTGGGTGCTTGTGGCTCACATCTGTAATTCTTGCTACTTAGGAGGCCAAGATCAGGAAGATTGTGGTTCAAAGTCAGCCTGGGCAAATAGTTCACAAAACCACATCTTGGAAAAAACCCGTCACAAAAAAGGGTTTATGCTTGCAAAGAGCGCTCAACCATTTGAGCCATGCCTCCAGCCCATTTTGCTCTGGTTATTTTGAAGATGGAGTGTCTCAAACTATTTGCCTGGGCTGGCCTTGGACTATGATTCTCACAACTTCAGCTTCCCAAGCAGGTAGGATTATGGGTGTGAGCCACAGGCACCACCACCACTGGGATAACAGGCATACATAATGGCACACAGATTTTTTTTTGTTGAGATGGGGTTCTTAAACTTTTTTCCCTGGGCTGGCCTGGAGCTATGATACCCCCTATTTCAACTTCCCAGGTAGCTAGGATTATAGGCATGAGCCACTGATGTCTGGCCTTGTTTGTTTTCTTGATGAAGGCCACTCAGGGGTGAGAAAGAATCTCAGTGTTTTGATTTCCATCTCTTTTATAGCTGAGGATGTTGAACATTTCTTCATGCATTTATTGGCCATTTGTACTGCTCATTTATTGATTGGATTATTTGGTTTTTTTGGTCTTTAGTTTTTTGAGCTCTTTATATATTCTGGATGGCATTCTCTTATTTCATGAATAACTGCCAAAAAATTTCTCCCATTCTGTAGGATGTCTCTTCATTGTGGTAATTATTTCCTTTGGTGTGCAGAAGCCTTTTAATTTCATGCAATCCCATTTGTCAATCCTTGCTTTTATTTCCTGAGCTATTGGAATCCTATTCATAGAGGCCTTACTTATGTCTATATAGTCATACATTTTCTCCACTGCTTTCCTATAGTAGCTTCAAAGTTTCAGGTCTTATGGGATGGTCTTTGATCCATTTTGGATTGATTTTGTACAAAGTGAGAGATAGGGATCAAGTTTCAGTCATTACACATGAATATTCAATTTTCTAAGCACCATTGTTTCTCCAATGTATTTTTTGGCATCTGTGTTGAAAATCAGATGACTGTAGTTGTGTGCATTTATTTCTGTGTCTTCTGTTTTATTGGTCTTGTCTGTTTTTGTGCCAGCACCTTGCAGTTTTTGTTACTATGGTTCTGTAGAGTAGTTTGAAGTCAAGTATATTTGGTACCTCTAGAATTGCTGTTTTTGTTCAGGAACGATTTGGCTTTTCACGGTCTTTTGCTTTCCTATGAATTTTAGTATTGATTTTTCTATTCCTGTGAAGAAAGACATTGGAATTTTGATAGGGATTGCATTGAATCTGTCAACTGCTTTTGGTAATATATTTGTTTTCATAGTATTAATTCTGCTGATCAATGAACATGGGAGGTCTTTCCATTTTTTAGTGAGGAAGACTGAAATTTGAAAAAACTGTCTTATCAATGAAGGATTTAAGTATTAGACAA